GCTTTATTGAAGGCTGATTTACGTTTTCGTCTAGTCTGTTCTATTTCCTCATTCCACCATGGTACCGTCGGTTTGCCTGTCTTAGATGTTTTGAAGGGGATGGAGGTTTTGGCTGTGTTTATTATATAGTCTGTTAGGTTCGTTGCAGATATCTTGGAATTGGTCCCAGTTAGCTTTATTGTAATGGAATTTTGGTTCTTGGTTTTCTGTTTGGATTGGTACGTTTGTATTTCCTATGGTTATGTTTATTGGGAAGTGGTCACTACCTAGCGGGTTGTCGTGCACTTCCCATTGAGGTACATCGATGATGCAAGGTATTTATGTACAGTTGTAAACACATTTTACTCAAATTAACAAGATGTTCTCAGTAATTAATCCTCGATTAATCAGTGTCAACTCAGTTTATTGCCTATTACAGTGATTGACCGATTGGACTATCATGTAGGTACAATGTATTTACAGCAATCAAAACAAACAAAGCTTGTCAGTGTAGATAATCTTCATTGTGTTACAACTGCAGACAGAAACTGCTCAGTCCTAACTGTTGATCACGTCCGGTCAAAATTTAAGAATGTCCGGACAATACTTTTTAAAATGTCAGGACAGAAAAATTTAAATGTCCGGTAAGCAATATTTTTTTAACCCGGACATTTGAGATTCCCAATCGGACATGTCCGGCGCATATGACGGTTTCCGGACCCCTGGTCAAAACACTACAAGGTTTTCCTAAGTGGAATCTTTTAGTGGTACTATTGGCACTTTTAGAGGACCAGCTAAGTTGTTTCAAACCATGCTTTCCTGCGCACAGAATCAAGGGTGTCCGAACTGTATGCTCTTGATGTATCTGGTTTCATGTACGCAGAGGCTTGGAGCAATACTAGTGTAAGTGCCTTACTGGAGTTTGGGGCTACTATAAATCAGACCTCACTTCTGGGGAGATTGGGACAAAGATTTAACACTATTCCTGCTCTTGGCAATGATATGGACCCCACAGATTGACACCAGTGTCCAATGCATGCTCTTCGGTATCGGCTATTCAGTCGCATGGTAGAGACAGGAAACACCTATTTACTCCTGTGCTTGGTAGATTTACACGTCATGAGATCTGAGCCTAATCCACTGTTGTGGATCTATTCTTCAGCTGTTCAAGCTTGACAAGTTAATTAACAATTGGGCCTACCAACAACCTGTTGGTTAGATAGAACAGGTTACAGGCAGGAAATCTCAATCAATTGTCACGTGATGTTTTCAGTATGGAGTTGACATCACACTACCAGTAGACTGGTAACTATCCAGGGATTGCTAAATGCCATTGCTCACAGATTCACTAATAGAGGAAGGGTAATCCTCGTAAATTGGACATTATGTTTTTAGAGGGAAGTGTCTAGTGAATTGTTCCCCATTTATGTAGCCTGGCAACCCAGATAAACGTAATGGCCAAACGATTGCTGCCAAAAGTGTGAGTGATATGACAATTGATATTGGGAGATATAAGACAATATGATATCACATAAAAGAAATAAACAACTCGTGGTTGTTGTTTATTGTACAAGAAAACACCACAGGCAGAATAACCACTCCAGGCTGTGCCCCTCATGGTTTATTCTCCCTGCAGTGTCTCATTGTACACGATAAACAACTCCCAATCGTCATTTATTTCTTAAAGCTCTGCACGCTAACGTCGAACCCATTCGACAGAGGTGTCACTTCCCCTTCATCTGATGTCTAACCCATTCGACAGGCGAATAGCATAACGAAGGCTTTGCGTAACATTTAAATTACGTATGACATGCATAAATGCTCAGCTTGCTCAATATCAAAACTTTCAGTCATTTATTTACCTCAAAAAGAAAATATCGCGAGTTAAAAAAGGTTTCACCCAAACTTCTCGGCACACAACTACCAGAAACAGCCATTGTTGACTTTTGGCACTTCACGTGGAGCGGCATGCAGTCCGATATTTTCTTTATAATTTCATCATTTTTCCTATTTGATCATAAATTTTTGTTTGCTGACGAAAAGGAAAACACCCATGTTCCTTAATTTCTAAAAATAAGCAACTTTCGGTGTAACTAATTGTAAACAAAAACAATCTGAATCGTAACATCATCGATTGGATGGAACTTGTACAATCATGGCAACGGCGGTAAACAAACAACTCCACATGCATAGTTATCCTGTTAGACTATTACAATCATTTTGTTACATCTAACTTAATTTTCTAGAATTATTGACACGTATGTATAAATCTTTGTAAAAAAAATTCATTTTTAAAGAGTTTGCAAATGATTTCGTTTGATAAACTTTCGGACACATTGACAAGCCGACAAACGTCAGTGATACGTTTGGGCGTGGCCTAACTCGCGATTTGTTGAGTTGAACAAAGTAAACAAACACTGTGAAAAATGACAAATATTGGATGATACGCAAAATCTGAACTGATATACATTCTAGGTAAACCATTCAATAGCAAAATAATGCAGTTTACGAGAAATAATCAAAATACTTGCAATTTTAGCTATCATATCTGAAACCGGAAGCACGTACTGCATGTGACACATGGAAGCAAAATATGCAAAAGTTGGTAAGCTATCATAAAGAAATTTCGAAATAGATTCAAATTCAAATTTACTATTTTTCGTCAACTATTTACTATTTATTGATATGGAGAGCAGTCTTCACTCCTATTTGTATCATTATCAAATGTGTAAGTCTAAATCCGAAACCGTAATGGATTTCACGCTCGATGATTTTAATTTTAAAATATTTTCTGAAAACGAACGTAACAGAGAGCGACATAACGTATTGATATGCCATAATAATAACAACATAATATTGTTATTGGTCTAGATCTTACATTACAAAAAGAACAATTTAAAATATTAAAGACGTTGTTGAAAACTTTTTGAGAACCTCCCGTCCTCTGAACAGATACAATTTTGGTACACGACGACTGTATGGAGGTAGTGTAAATATATAGATTCTAGGCTCCTATATGTGATTTTGTACCCAAAACAAATTAAATTGTACCCAAAATACTTTGTGAATTTGTACCTCAGAAAATAAGACAATAGATCTATAATTATATTTATGTTTTCATGTAGATGAACAGAACACATAATCAAGTTCATAATATGATTATGACTGTGATCCTTGAAATTGATTGTTTAGTTTTGAGAGAAAATTGACGTCTTGTCACTGAAGAAGAGGCCAGCCAGTTAAGTTGGTTAAACCTAAGTTAGAATGTATTGTTTTGATAGTATGTTAAGTTTAAGACACCAAAATTAATGCATATCTTTGAAATAATTCTAGGTAGATCTACAAAATCACATACCCATTTGGGTAACAAATTACTAGAAATTTTGGGTACAAAAGTCACCACTGTACATTTAAACTGGTTTGCATGAATCAATGGGATAAAAAAAATTCATCTGAATGATTCCTTTTCTCATTTTAAGACAAGAATTTGTTTTACATAACAAAACAGGCTGATCTACATGGATCACGTTTTGTCCTAAAAATGTGAAAAATATGGACACATCAGAAATGAGGGCTTATAAGGTTATAATTCTACCTAACTTGTCACATGGTTTGACTTAGATCTAGGTCTATCTAAGAAAAGTCCTTATGAAAATCTTGTTTTAATTTTTTTATGACACTGACACTAATTTTACACAAAGAGTATTCAAGAAAAGACATATGTTTTTGAATGAAAATATGACTTTCCTTTATAATTCTTTTTTCATGATGACAGGGGAACTTTTATACACACCAGCTGAGGAAGTTGTGATACTGTGATTGCATACAAAGGAAAAACAGGTTGGAAGCAGTACCTGTATGTATAAAATAGACCACATAAGGTGAACAAAAGTAATGGATTGGCTGACTGGAAAAAATACATCTGGCAAGGGTAAACATGTACACAGGCATGTTTCTTTTCATTCCAACCAGAAGACTGAGATAGTATTTTCTTAGAAACATATGGCTAACTCACAAGCTTATGTGCCACCATGGTTCTTGTGATTAAACAAAATGTCATGTACTGTTACAAGTACTGTTACTGTAATTAATGTATCATATTCCTATTGAATCATATTTCAGAATTGTTTTATTTGGGAACAAACCAAATAATGCACAAGATTAATGTCCATATGAGTTTAGTATGTATATGTTAAGGATCTGATTTATTCATTATTCATGGAATACTAAAATTAAAATGATGACATCAGAGAGTTACTTATTCACATAGTTGATTTTCAGAGCGAAAGATAGTAATTCTTGAAAAAATATGTTTAAACTAAAGATAATAATTGAAGGTTGATCAGTTACACTGTGCTGATGCAAAGACCAATATTTACTGTCCCCACACACCATTGTTGAAAAAAATAACTACTAAATATAACTAAAAATTTTAAAACCTGTAAACAGCTGTAAATAATTAAACAATTACAAATCTATCATCAATACGCAATCATGGTGGTCTTCATATTTTTGGAATAAATTTAGAAATCCTTCGTGAAACTGTTCTAAAATCATGCTAGAATCTATGAATGTATTCCCGAAAGGAAAACTATCCCAAATGTAATGTGGAACTAACACCGAAAATATGTACGTAGCATTTTATTGCTTATATATATATCCTATCATATTCAACAACGCGGGGATGTTATTTTGAAACACGTTTTGTCAAGCCCATTTTCGCACACCTGTTGTAGAGGGTGATCTTGCTGATCGACGATATCCATAGACATATTACGTGGGATACACTTGTTGTAGTGAACTTATCAGCATGTAATTCAGCAGGCTAAAGGTTAAGTAAAGTATGTAGTTCATCACAATAAATGTGTCTATTGTATTTCTGTGTCTTGTTGGTATAATCAACCTGATGATAAATTACAATTCGGACTGTAAAATGTTGTCTAGTAATCTGTTGTGATTTCATTTCAAATAGATGCCAGGGTCTTAAAGATATCACAAGTGTACAAAATGTCTCAACTTACTCTCATTCGGATCTATGGTACAGAATGGGAAGTTCTCTGCTGTGGCTTGACTCTTTGTCAACACATTGAAAAAGGTGGACTTCCTGTTGATTTGAAAAAAAGCACATTTAGAAGACATTTTCAAAAGTGAACACAGATCAAACCAAATCACTCAAAACTGGTGCCAAGGCCGTGCATCTCACCTTCATACATGTCCATGTAAACACCTTAAAATATCAACTGAGACAGACACTTAACCAGTATTCCAAATACCCACCTTCTGCCCAGTCTGAGACAGTTTGGTTTTGAATGGGGCAGTCACCTTTAAAACCTTCAATTCTGACTGATTCTTTTTTCAATCAATCAAAACAGGACATGACAATCCAATGATTGACATCATGAGCATCAAACTACACAACTTGGATTCGATGACATGAACCAACCAAGTCAGCGAGCCTGACCACCTGATCCTGTTAGTCACCTCTTACGACAAGAGAGAGCCTTGACGATGACCGCTTCCAGGAAGGCCTTCAACAGCAACCAATCCAGAAAACATTACCCGGGTGCATGACATGGTGATGGCTGATCGACGATTGACCACTCGACATATTGCCAGTGTTGTGGGCATCTCTCATGATAGGGTTGAGCACATTATCACCAACGAGTTGGAAATGAGAAAAGTTTCTGCATGATGGGTGCCAAAGCTCTTGACAGCGGATCAGAAACGTGTCAGATTCCTGAGGTCCCGTGACAATTCATGCCGTTTCGAAGCAGATCCCTATGATTTTTTGGCCCGATTTGTAACCATGGATGAGACCTGGATTCATCACCAGAAACCAAAATTCAGTCTCAACAATGGAAGCATCCGAAATCACCAGTCCCCAATAAAGCCATCGAACACTTATGGGATGAGGTTCAAAGGCGTCTGCACAATGTGCGCCCAGTCCCTTCAACTGCCGATGAACTATGCACAGCTGCTCTGGATGTGTGCAGGAGGATCTCTAGGGCCTTCACAAATCGTCTGATCCACTCAATGTACAGGAGATGTGTGGCAGTGACCAATGCTAATGGTGGTCACACCAGGTATTGACTGACATTTTGGGTATTGACCCGAAACTGTAAGCACTTAACATTTGAAAAAAACAATTATGTCATCTGCCTTTTAATCCATTAAACTGTCTTCAGTCAAATCTTGCCCTATTAGTATTTCTTGTCTTTACTGTAGAAAATAAATAACATGTATACTGTATACTCAACTTGCGTTTCTTTTGCATGTGAGTATATATTGTTGTCATTATTCTTGTTTATGTAATATTAATAAATATATTTAATCCTGCACTTTATATTTATAATTGTCAGTTTAACATATACTGAAATCCTCGACAGTACATGTGACAGTAACATTGTCAATCCCGACAGTATGCCGGGTAAGTGAGGATAGCCCCTTAATTTCAAACACTCGTATTAAGTTACAGAACGTTATCTACTAACCCGACATTGGGAAGTCCAACAATACCAATTTTCAGGTTTGTACCAACTCTACCAATAAGAGGTGCAGGTTTTGCTTCTTCCTTCTTCTTAGGTGGCATAATTCAATCTGTGAACAACAAAACGATCAGGTTGTTTTACAATGGGATTATCTTGATGTGCATCAGAAGGAAAAAACTGTGGAATAACAAGGGTTTCAGAAACAGTGCCAAACATTGATGCTTTAAAACACAAGCTACATTCACAGTGATACATCCATGTTCACATGCTTGCAATTATTTTGCAGTGATGTTCAGCAAAGTGTGATAAGTGATGTGAGGATCTATACTGTTGTAGCCACCATGACCTTATGGCCCTTTTTGTTGTTTTATGCTGCAATCAACAATATTTCAGCTATATCACAGTGACTTGTAAATAATGAAGAATAGGACAGACAAACCAGCAGCAGCCAATAAACAAACTTCTAGTCAGCCACTGACAAATATTTTCTGCATAAGCAGTGGGGACCTACAGTCCGTTTGATTCCATCTGAGACTGATGAATTGCTCACTAACTCAAAATCTAATAATTGCAACAAAACCAAAATGTGCACAGCGACATGAATTGGACAGACCAACTCTGATGGTTTGTCTCATAATTTTGGACACCCGAATAAAAAAATTGTTTAACAAACGATCATCATATTGTTGACATTTTTCGCCATCCCATACCAGGGAGGACCAGTCGCTCATGGAACAGCCAGGAAATGAACAAGCATGTGCACCGTATATGGGGGTCATCTCAAAAGCCGTTTTGGGTGTTCAATCGGAGTCACTGAATCGGAATTGGTGTCGCTGTTGTCCGAATCGCTATTGCCGCTGTCCGAGTCTACCCTGATGATCATTGGCTTGATTGTGGCATGGTCCAATCCACTATGACCCCAATAATGTCTCTCTATTTCATTCTCAACTTTCTCAACACACTTTTGCCACGTTTCCTGCATGATGGTGTCTATTGATTGTTGAACCAGTTTGTGTACATCCCTCAGTTTGAATGTTGTATAATTCCTGCGAATATCCTACCTCTATTACATCATAGCCACAAAGTCCCATTTTGGCAATAATCACACTATAAAATCTTTAGATTTTTCGACAGACATCCTCTTCACTGCCAATTATCCCATAGTCTTGAGGTAAACCCTATCCCTTGTCAAACTGCATCTGCGCATGCGCAAGGCGGGAAAACATCACTTCTTTCCCGTGTGTGTTGGATCAACAAGTAGTATAGGTAATGATGGTTCTGCCGCAACTCCACTGGAGCTGGATTTATATACCTATACTGTTACTACAGATGGAATTTTTTATGTGTAAATGACTATGCGATTCAACGATCGTCATGAGATTAAGTTAAATTGACTCTAGCTCACCACCACCTGGAGTCAATCAATGCTTCTATGATATAAATTTTTATAGGTAATAGGGGTTCTGGACCACTTCCACTGGAGCCGGATTTATATACCTATACCACCACTACAGGGGGAATTTTTTATGCGTAAATGATGATGCGGTTCAACGATAGTCATGAGACTAAACTAAATTGTAATGAAAATATTATCTATTATTTTTACTACCGTATTTTCTTGAGTATAGTGCGCACCCATGTATAATGCGCACCCCCCTCTAGCGGGTTCAATATTTTGGAAAAAAAGAAATTTGAATATTATGAGCAGAAATTTTTTACACCGTACCCTTTCAGCGAAGTCCGGCAAACGAACGGGTGCTGAGAAACTTCGTCAGTACAAATTCGAAATTTGAGATAAAAAATCACCAGACATGTTTATTTACCGTTTAAATAGTATTTATTGTTCTGCTAGGCATTGTTTTATATTTAGGGATTAAGATTACCTTGCGTATTTTCTCGTAAACTAAGCTGGAAACAGCAATCAGCTGTACACACGTTTTCTTGGAATCGACCGGTGATTCAGTCAAGACACACCCAATGATATAACTTTATAAGATTTTTAATGCAAGGATCGGCAACAATTGTATCTGAAACTATTTTATTTATCAGGAATAATATATTCCATTATTTTCTTAATTATATGCAACCTTTAATAAACATATTTAAAATAATAATAACCCTAAGCGAAGCAGCTGATCGCTATTCCCGGGCATTATTTTTTACATGGAACATGTCTGACCAGTCACCGTCAAGGCTCACGCGCACATGATCACGTGATCGCGAGAATTTCATGTTGACATAGAATCGTCAAACAAAAACAAATATGACTTTTAACGAGTCAAAGTATGTCATTTATGATATATGTATCCATTCTCTGTCAACTAAAGTTTGTTTCAAGGCGTCAATAGCGGTATTCTGACCGTGGTTGCTGTTAATAACGGTGAGTTGTGCGATCTTCCGATCGCTTCACACACGATTTCGCCGAAATTAATAAAAACAATTTTATCAGATTATAAGGAATTTTGAATAAAATCAATGAAATAAGTTACAAACATAAGTCCTGATATACAAAGAACACTTTTTATAGCCAGACAGTGTAATTACATGATTATTTTGCGTACTTCAGTATGGATTTGTTGACATGGTATTTCCAGTGTTTCGTGCTCACGGTAATGTCTTTCCATGGGGGAAAAAAACATCCAAACTCATAATTCGTGTATAATGCGCACCCCCTTCTACATAGCTGTGTTTTTTCGAAAAAAAGTGCGCACTATACTCAAGAAAATACGGTAATACGTATACCATTATTTTTAACGGAGTGATATTCAACATTTTTACTAAATTCTTCGTTCATTTTACTGGGAGACCAGACTCTTGGTAATTGAAAGAAACATTTGATGGCCGTATTTGGTTGGTTTTACATCACAAATATAATACATACCTTGTGGTAATTCTCTCCATTTGATAATTTTGTCCCTGAGCATAAATGTTTCAATAGCTTTTTCGAGTTCTTCCTTTGTTGGTTTGTAATTCTCCATTATTATATACTTATGTAAGCATTCGTTTAAATGTGATCTAACGTTAGTAAGCAATCTATTTTTAATCTCCAACCAGTTCTTTGGTCTTGGCACGGAATAATTGACGCGCTTGTTGTCTCCCCTGTTCTATAAACTTTTTTTTCTCGTCTTCGCTAATACCATTGGTCTTACGAGATTTTGATCGAATCTCTTGCTTCATTACGTTGTATTAGGTGAGTTCCGACAACACTAAATGAAACTCCTCCTCGGATATCTTACAATCAGCCAGTGCTGTCGAAATATGATCCTCAATGCTGTTCAACTTTGCTTCAGCGAGTATCCTAATATTATCGTGTTTTAATGCTTTCTTTTGCAACCTACGAGAAATGAATTTTATCGTTATTCCTGCCAGTCCTGAGACTCCAGCCGCTATATCCATGCCAAGTACGATAGGCGCGGCGATTATAGTTGATAATAAACCAACACTGGCTACACTGAGTCCCATGCCAGCTGTAACAAGCGCGGTGTCAACTCCGTCCAGAGCATTCACGGCTCTGCGATACTTTTTATACAATCCAAGTCTCAACTCCCTCTCCTTTTCTATTCGATGTTTTATGTCGCTTATTTGATGTAATCGAAATCCATCAACAGTTTCCATCTTTTCAAGTGCCTCATCGAGTGCCGGATATAAACTCATAGTGTATATTACGATCATATAATAGTCTTTAATTGGTCTTGCGTCAATGTTTTGAGTATACATCAACCTTATCAAATGTATATTATACGGCAAGAATATCTTAGTAAGAGAAATACTACCACTTTTAATAATTTGGACCCCCTCGAGGGTTGCAACGGGTGATGCTCCGATATGAATAATACTGCAACGTCGACGCTCGTGTTTCTTGAGCCATTTAATCGATAGTCCTGGTAATATTTCGAAGGCATCTCCCGGTGCATCTCCAAACAAGACTTCAATAATAAGCGTAGAAAGATTAGGCATTGAACTCAAGTTCTGTTTAATATCATTGAATTCAGTAACAAAATTTAAACTAACATTTTTTACTGCTGGACGACTATATAACATATGACCTGGGTTTTCTGGCAGGGGAGAGACTAACACACTTTTTCGTTTTGATGGGATATAAGCCGCGAGTATGATGCCACTATTTATTATCTTAGTTATATTATGTGCTTTAACCATCATCACATACGGTGGGGTAATGACGATATTCAGTAGCCACTCAATGTTTGCTTCGACCATAGTCCAAATATTATCATCGTTGTGAGTAAGATTGTAAGAAGTGTTTTTTTTAAGGAGTCTACTAACATCGACATCTCTTAAATCTCCTAGATTACCTGTGAATGTAACTTCTTTCCGCTTGTATACATTATCTTGTAAGTGTAAAGCGTATAACTTACCATCGGTACCGGGTTTACCGAATCCTTCTGTGTCTCCGAGATCGGAAAGTGCAATTGTATTACATTGTCTGAGCGTTCCAGGGCCTGATGAATCAACCATTATTTATAATATGGAGTGTTACACTAAAGTATCCTATATGTACAGGTTGGTGTTTTACATCTAATACAGAAATTTTGAGGTCTGAAATAATACCACTCTTTAATTTTTTATATTGTAATGTTGAGAAAGTTTCCATTCTACCGCTATTGTATTTTTCATCTTTGACTGGAATAGATCTGAGTAGAGTTGAAGGACTTTCAAGTTGAATATTATCCGTCGTGCTTATTTCACCAAGATGGATGGACAACTCTTTATAGGGAACTAAATCGGGTAATTTATCTCCATCAAATGTTGACTTGATTAATGTTATATCCTCGATTGCAAATGCAAGTGTAATTGCTAAGTTCTCGTAAAGCTTTACATCCTTTTCTCCAGCGCTTAAAATCAGTATCCCATTCGACTCATTTTGTGTGAGACTAATTCCATTAGGCTTAAAAATTTCATTATTGAGTGAGCATACGCTGTAATACCCATCAGGTATAATAATGTGAATGTTAATACCATTGCCATCTAATATATGTATCTTATTATTATTTCCCACAGCATTTATATTGGTCCACCGCGTTAATATGTTACATCGCATAGGGCGACTTCAAGTTGACCATCCGAGTTATCGATAGTATGAATCAGTTC